ACGGGTCCTGAAAAGGTAGGTCTAGAATTCTTTTTTTCCCTTTTTTTGTTGCCCAAGGGAAGGGTCAGGACCCATGACCCCCCCTCCCCCAGATCCGCCAATGTGAATTGCGAGAAAATGTAACTCGGTCTGGGACTGGATAAACATTCTTTTCCCATCCTTCTCCTCCTTCCTTCTTTTTTTTCTTGCATTTCTTTCCCATCATACAAAAATCTCCAGACATAATATATTTGTTGTCAAAAAGTGGGGGGGGGGGGCGCTTACTTACTTACTTACTTACTTACTACTTACTTACTTACTTACTTACTTACTTAAGGCTTACTTACTTACTTAAGGCTTACTTACTTGCTTACTTACTTGGAGAAATGGAAATCTGTAGAACTGCAATAACGCAACTAAAATAAAAAACATTCATATATAAAATTTAACACCTACTGCCCCCACCACCGCCAACTAAAAGATAGAGAATTGACCCATTGACATGAATGATACTGCGTGTTTTTACAAGACACGAAGGCTAAATGATAAATTTAGACTGAACATTCAAATTCAAATTTTATTTTCGAATGAACATAACATAAAAAGGGGAAACATGGCATCCTAGGATTGTCAAAAAGTTAAAAAAAACTATCAAGTGACCCAAACAAAATCCACATACAACAAAACATATATAAGCTAGCACTATAGAAATTTAGCAATAAACGAATAAATCTAACTGCCGTACGTCTAAGACAAACCAACTTTTCTATTAAAGAAGATTATGCTTCCTTAGGAAATAAAGGCTATAAAATTTCGGTTTGATAAAAATAGTCTTTAATTAATATGGGTACCATATAGGTATGCATTTAGTTCTGAATGTTAATAAACTTGGATGTCACCCTCTAACAATAAATATAAAATGTAATAAAAATTATGAAACGTTAAGATTGTTTGAGTCTGTCTGCACTTGGTCTGAATAAGGAGGACGGGCATTCCAATGCCCAAATGAAGTATCCGGTGAATCTGTGCCGTACCCTTTCCAAAATGTCACGGTAAATTGCCACGCTGTAGTGCCAACCACAAGGATATCCCTAAAGGGACGACACAAACTTCTTTTTGTAAGCATTTTCCTTGTGTTCTTCCAAATATTCTTTTGACAATCCCAAGCATCTTAGAAGCTTGAAACCGCATACACATGCCTACCCCAACGCATCATTAGAAAATTATACCAAGGTATTTAAAAAAATTAACTGAATCAAGAATGGTATACCATTTTACTTTTGTTTATATTTGCCTGACTACTCCAAGAGACAATTCTATTTAGAGTACTCTGCAGTTTATCAACATCAGATCTTACTTACACCATAAAGCACTGTGTCACATCAGCATGCTGGGGGGGGGGGACAAAAGTGCACACACGGGGGAGGTCGGAAACAAATGTTGAACTACCGAACCTGTGGGACTCTCCTGACAGAACAGGAACTCAATTAACCCGACCCGAATGCGCACCCTTAAATTAAACTTTTTGATATCTACATGAAGAAACGAGTAAACCAATTTGGCCACGGATTCCATAAAGTTTGTTTAGAAGAAGTAAGTGATTAATTCGATCAAACGCGTTGGACTAATCTAAAAATACTGCACGGTGAAGTGAATAGAAGATTTTGTTGATGGGATGGGAGTTTACAATTATTTTCAACAATTTGCAAAAAATTGAGGTAAGGGAAATGGGACGATAATTAGTGACATGACTATACATAAAATATTTGGAATCGATACACATCATGAAAAATAAAGATTTTAATTTTACTTGGCTTATTAGGTATGTATGCAGAAACAATCCGAGTCACGAAAGTGGAAATAATGTACAGCTGACCACGTTGTGCAGCCAATCAGATAGAAGAAATTGGCAACAACCTATCGATTAATAAATTAATCGAGCAATCAATCAATCAATCAATCAATCAGTCAAACAATCACAATCAGCCAAACAAACCAACCAATCAGTTATCTATCAATAACCAAAACAATCAATCAATCAACCATCGATCAATCGGTCAAATAATCAATTATCTATTCCAGTCAATCAAAAACGATCGATAGCCTTCAACGTACAAGTTCCGATCGTTTTGCTTGTATAAAAAGTGGCCGAAAAAGAGCTATCACCACTCCACATCTGTATCGTGTTTCCATTTAACGAAGAGTCTTCGTTTTCCCATGTAGGACATATATATTCCATGGTTTTCCTGTGTAATGTTCTATAACGTTACTGTTTCCCTGCCTAGGCTGTGACAATACTGTATGTAAGTTTTTAAAAATTACCGGTATGTACAGTATTTAGAAATTACTTACTGCTCTCTTCACGGCTCAGTAGTTTCGACAGATTGTCAATAATGGGCATGCGCATGTTATGTTCGATTGATAAGGAATGGGATCGGACGACGCCGAGGTGAATCATGGAATTTTCACAAAAATAACGATTTGTAATTAAGCCTGTATGGTGATAATTTGAGAAAGAGGATATATTTGGAGTTGGATGAATAATTTTATTTTGTTTCAATTGTGAACTCTTTACACTGTCTAAAAGTAATTGATATGGAAAATCAAGCGCATAACTTGATTGGTATGCAGGAGCCTACTGCCTGTGCTGCTGCAGGAGGAGGAGAAGGTAGTGTGCCTAGATATCCACTGTCGGGCGGTGCCCGATATGTTGATGTTGGACAAGAGGGCCTAGAAATCGATAGCGTTAACAGCCAACCATATCGGGGACCAGGCAGTGTAGCAGCACCAGGTAAGCGCATTCACATTCTAACGTAACCATAGTAGGCATATGTTGCATGCTGTGTTTTGTAATTTTAATTACTTTGTAGGCCTGGGCTGGGACATTCTGTTCTGTGTAAAGACGAGTAAAAAGGCAAAGCCGAAGGAAAGAGACCGGTTTATAGTTAGGCTACCCTCGACTCGAGCCCTAGCCTAGCCAAGGTAGCCTAGGCCTAGATAAGAATATTCGTTGCTTTGGAATTTTGTTCAGATCTGGTGTAAATGCAGGCAGGCTCTCAACTCAGGCTTGCCTCTCCTCCACCTGTTGAAAGACATGCTAGAATGCATAATTTGTGTTTGCAGTTTGGAATAAAATGAGTCACAGAAAGGACAGTTGCATTCTAAAGTATTTTTAGGACCTTAATTTGCGCTTTGGTACTGTAACTTAAATTTGCACAGAATATAATATATTATTACAGTTTGGTGTACACAGAATCTTAAACTAACCTAGTCATAATTAGGCCACTGCATATTAATATTCAGTTTGTATATTATTTTATTAAAAATATAGCATTATTTAATATTAGTCTTGAGCCTGATTTTCTGCAAAATTTGCACTTTAGCCTATAATAAATGGGTGCTTAATATCATAATAATTTCAAAAAGCATGGATAGATTTTTGCACGGGAGATATTCCTTTGGTTAGGCAGTCTGGCAATCGTTATTTTGCATGGGAATACCATATAAAGTTAGTAACAAAATTTGTGTAGAAAACTAACAAAATTGGTATAGAAATGTAATGTGTGAAATTAATGAAAATAGGATGCAAATTTTGCTTAGAAATTAGGCCTAGTCTTTTACATTTTCGTGCAAATTTTGGAGAAAATTAGGCCTTGGCATTAAACTTAGTTACAATATTCTGCACTTCTGTATTCTTAATCTTACAAATTTTCATCCCAAATTTGAGTTATTTTTTGGTGTATCCCTCATGAAATAATATAATACTGTATGTCTCCCTGAAGACAAAAACCAGGAAAAACCTGGGCTCAAAAGTCGATTTTAATTAGAAGAAAATCTGTATTTAAAAAAATTTGCATGACATTAAATTTGGGGATTTAATACTACAGCAAATCTGTCAGTCTAGTAGAAAATTATATCCCATATTTTAATGTGTCTAATGGTTGCTGCATGGTAAACTTTGTAGCATCACTGGCTCATTAATTCTTCTAAATGCTAAAATGGAAATGCTATTAAAATTAATTAAAAATCCATTTAAAATGCATTAAACGTTAACAGTGGAGGTATTCCGTGGTAGTTAAGAATAAAATATTATAAATCATGTAACATGACTGAAAAGAACTCGATTCCCTAAACCCTGATATTAGAGCATAACTTCATTCCTGTACATGGCTAGTCACTAGCTGTTATGTGAAAAATAGAGTAATAAAAAATTCACAACTTTTATCGTAAAATATTTAACTTTAAAGTACTGTATAAGCAATCCATGTGGCAATAAATGTCTTTCACAGATTTGATAAGTGTACAATATTAGCAAAGTTCTATAGTCTGAAAGGTTGCAGTGTGTGTTAATTGTAAATAAATGAGTCCCCTTGTCAAATATTGGTCTACTTGTATTCATGTACTTTGATGCTATTTCAGGACTACTGTATTGTGCTGTTTCCACATAATCAAGACATGGAAAGTTTGCTCAGAATAAGCACACACTTTGTTTGGAGCTCAAAAATTTGACCTTGATAATAAATAAATAAATCAATCAGTCAATCAATCAATCAAGTGTACACCATTATGACCTTACTCTTTACTTTACAAATCTGTGCAATTCAAATGCTGTATCAAGTTTCATTAAAAAATAAAAAAAATTCTATTTGTAAAATAACTGTTTCTAGTCAACAAAAGCTCCGCATATATTACTGGTAGAAACTGAAATTTGAAGTAAAATAGGACACTCTTTACATCTGTTTGTACAGTAAATATAATTTGCCATATGTCCAGCTCAACATGCCTACTATAATTATAGCCTACTTGATACTGTATCTACCGTTTATATAGTATTCATTAACAGCACTGATTTTAGTAGTAGTTTGAAGTCATTCATTACTATGTCTTTGTCTACATTATTATACTGTATCTGTAGACCCTTATTATTGATAGCCTATAGTAAACAAACAAGTAACATCAGTATGTTAATAAGGGAGTTGCATTGTAATTCACCACTTTGGTCCATCAAATTAATGCATTATCATTTTTCTGTTATAGTATTACCTCCACTAAGGAGGTTTTAGTTATGTGAATTCACCCCTCACTGTCAGCAAGATTACACAAAAAATTAGAATGGATCATCATAAAATTTAGTGGAATGGTACTAAATAAGAAAGAGCATAGAGAAAATAGAACAGAAGGAGTGCTATCGAGCGAAGATCAAAGGTACAGACCTCCTAGCCGCGATCGTAATTATCTCACCGTTACGTAACGTACTTCACAACTAGATAAGCTGAAATAGGCAAACGCGCATGCGTCGATAGCTCTTACAATCAAAACATTAGCGAACGTATCGCGAGCGCGATCGTCGTGATTGAATGATATGATGATATCGATCTAGGCCTAGGCCCTAGACTTATGAAACTGGAGGCAGCAGGAGAAATAGAAAACCAATTAAATGATGATGTTTTAATTGGCATGTGCGTTTTGAAGAGAGTGTGCAAGTGTATTATTTTTAGCCTACAGGACAGGTTGCAGGCTAGGCCTAGGCTTCACCGGGAGTAGATCTAGGCCTAGGATGAATAGCCAATAATCTTATAGTTAGGATCGGCCTAGGGGCCTACGTAGTACACGGTCTTCTTGATTGATATTTAATAAAGGCCTAGCTATGTTAGATTTAATGAATACTAGGCCTTAGCTTACCACTGGTACCTGTTGTGGTGGCCAGTACCAGAACACAAGGCCCTGGCAATATTAATATTTTCTAATTCATTTAATAATACAAATTTGTAAGCCTAGTGTAGAGCCTACCCTAGGCCTACACTACTTGCTGTAGACGGGGGCCTGTAATTATGCAGCCTAGTAGCTAGACCTAGGTTATGATAGTTTGTGTGTCAATACTAAATTTAATATTTATGCATTTTCATTATATTCTTTACTGATTGAACCTATATAAAAATTAATATATTATGATTTTTAAATCTCCACCACCCATATTTCATCAAAAACTATGATATACTGTAAATGGTAGATTTTCGCAGGGATGCATTTTAATTTTCCTGGTGTTGATAGACCGGCAAGTACATTTTTGGAAGACGATGCTATTATTGGAGGGGTGAAGGGCTATTGCATCAACATTGACCCATCCCATAATGCAGAGTGTGTTATTTTATTTGCAAAAGACCTGGAGATGCAATTTTTTAATGCTTTAAAGCAACTACTGTATACTGTAGTTGTAAATGTTGGATAAAAATCAATGCTTTCTTAAATGTTTATGTTAAACGAATGAAAGTGGCAAAGTTTCAAAAAAGGGAAGGAACTGTCATAAATTGTTGAATGGGCTTTGTGTAAATAGTAGAAATTTAATTTGGTAATAAATACACAGGTGAGACAGTACCGTAAGAGTAATATTTGTTTGTTGATTAAAGTGTATCCTGCATCATGCACAGATAAAATTTGAGTGAAGTCATGAATGTTCATAATTTTGATCAGATAGTGAGTACAGTAATGATGAATGGTGAGTTAATACTGTTAGGGTAATCGTTTTACTTTTCAAATAATCAGAATAATGACAAGCAAAGACAACTTCAAATCTCATTCGTAATTTGGTGGTTCTGAAAAGAACCGTTTGGTTTGGAAAAAATTGGCATGCCACACATGATCTGGCTTTCTTCTTTCTTCGAAGATGCAATTCGTCAATGGTGTTTCTTGCCATCGTCATCAGGAAGACCTCAGATGGAGTGGTTGTTCGTGATTCTACAAAATGAAGTAAAAAGCATTATTTCCAACATGAAAAATTGTTGCAAAATCAATAAATAAAAATGTGGGCCTGTCGATATGGACAAAAGCTACAGTACAGTATTATAAACGAATATAATTATAATAATCGGTCGGGCCCTAGCCTGGGGAAAATGATTTTTAAATGAAAATGATAGGTAGGACCATGGGCAGGACTCAGCAAAGCTAGCCTAGGCCTATAACTATAGGCCTACAACAATAATATTTTTGTTATTTATAATTAATAAAAACAAAGAATACGTGGGCAAAGAAAGTAAAAGTGAACAGTACAGTCAGTGTTTTTAAATTTTTTAAAAATTTTTTCATTTTTAAGGGCCAAACATGACAGTCGTAAGTACTGTAAAGTGAAGACCTGGACGTAACTGCAAATGAGTCTACTAAGCGTAGTCCTAGGCTTACACATGAGTGCCACAGAGGCCGATCGAACAGATTTTAGGCCACATTATGGTCTTAATATCTCGACCGGACATGACCGGACATGGTTAGTTTGTGTACCAAATGAAAGATACAGCTTTCTACTTTCGTCTGAACTAAATTTTATTAACCTGCAACAACCGGAACACTTTACAAACATTATTTATTGACATCACTTTCGTTCTGACAATAAAAATAAGCCAATACTTACAACTGATAAAAGAAACAGTTATTTTAAGCCGATTTAACGTTTAAAGTATGTATTTTTTCGCCGAAAAAAACTCTGTCTGAATATACCAAACACGCACACAAACAAACCATGGATGATGAACTGCGCATGTGTTTTTTAATTCTAATGTTTAAATGTTTGTGTATTAAGTACTCAACTAACGCAAGAGCGTCTATAGGGGTTTACACTTAAGCGGCGAGGAGCTGTGTGTTACAAAGAGATAGTGCTGTGATAAGCTCCGCGGGTGGCCGTAGTGCAATTTAATAGGCACTAGCTGATTGTTTAATTGGATTAAAGATAAGCGATAAAGTCGATGTTACTCCTTCTGTTCTATTTTCTTTATGGAAAGAGGTGTTTAAATTTTGGACAGAACAGTCACAGATCAAGGTCAAGGTCATGAAAATTTAATAAAGGAAAATAATGGAATTGCCCATTATATACACAGCCTATAGTACCGGTATGTATTGTTGGGTATTCAGCACAGATGGAAAACAATGGAATTGCCCATCAATCACGGCTTGTGTTTTGTTTGGTATTCATACACAGGACGGAGGTAAACTATGCATTCTATGGAATGAATGCTCTATTTATGGTCTCTGTATAATCAATTTAGGCATTTTTGTTAAAATACAAACCCAGACACAGTCCTCTATGCTTTTTAATTCAAATGTTTCTGACTGAGTCCAGTGCATATAATGACTTGGGAAAAGGTTTACCATGCCAAGTATCATGAAAAACATTTTAGGATGCTTGATATGATTACTAGATTATAAACTTGAGTAATTGTTAGGTAAAGCCTGATGAGTGTCATTTCCAGATATAATTTTTTAATTTTGAATGCACCAAGGATACCAATAACTTAGCTGGCCCGGGGTCCACCTAATTTATTTTTTTAATGAAAAAAAAAAAAAAGAAAAAAAAAAAAAGCCAAAAAGACATTTACATTCAAATTTAAAAATGTATTGTTTCATGCAAAATAAAAAAAAAGAAACTTTTTTGAAATTAAAATGCCCATTTTGAAGTATAGGAACATATTTAAAAAATCCACTTAAACATACATAGAAATTAGTGTATACAAAAAATGTTTACAGTACCTATAATTTTACATTGAAAAATGATAGAAACAAGTCACAGCATTTTATTATTTTTTTTTCATTATTTAGTATTAAAATCAGGGTACACCTTTTTTAAATTCAATCATTTCTGTTCTCAAGTTATTAATTTGTATGTTACTGCAATATAGCAAGTTAATTTACAAATTATTTTTTTATGATTTTTTATCAATTTTTTCAGAGTGCCATTTCTGGCCATTTATCAACATTGACTTTTTGGCCCCACTCTATTTCGAATTCTTGGATCCGCCACTGATTTAATTTGGTCTACTCTCATATTTACATGTTAGCGAGGGTTTTCCCATATCCCCCAGAAAACCTGCTACTGGATTATGTGAATATGTATTATCTAGTTCGTTAATATCTTATCCTTTTGAAGGTTCCCAAAACAATGAAGTAATGATGCTTCAAAGTGAGATAACGCAGCTGCAGAAGAACCAGCAGTTACTGATACAGCAACGGCAGGCACTGGAGGCAGACTTTGCACAAAAGAGGGCCAAGTTCAAAGAGCTGTTTCTTGCAAGAGAAGGTAAACATTGAAATGATTCTTTGTATTTGGTATGTAGTACATAGTGTAATATTGATTTTTTTGTAATCATTAGCATCATCATCATCATCAGCGTCATAATTATTAACATCATCATCATTAATCGTCATCATCATCTTCACCACTACCAGCATCATCATCTTTATATCATCACCAATGGCAGCTTCACCATCACCACCATCATCATTTATAAATAACCATACTCATCATCATAATCATAATATAATCATCATCATTATCACCACCACCACCATCATTACCACTACCAGCATGATCATCATCATTATAACATCACCAATAGCCGGCAGCTTCATCACGACCACCATCATTTATAATTATAATCATCGTCATCATAATCATCGTCATCATAATCATCATCATCATTATCACCACCATCATTACCACTACCAGCATCATCATTATATCATCACCAATGGCCGGCAGCTTCATCACCACCACCACTACCACCATCATTTATAATTATCATAATCATAATATAATCATCATCATCATCATCATTATCACCACCACCACCATCATTACCACTACCAGCATCATCATCATCATTATATCATCACCAATGGCCGGCAGCTTCATCACCACCACCATCATCATTTATAATTATCATAATCATCATAATAATCATCATCATCATCATTATCACCACCATCATCACCACCACCATCATCATTTATAATTATCATAATCATCATAATCATCATCATCACCACCACCATCATCATTTATAATTATCATAATCATCATAATCATCATCATTATCACCACCATCATTACCACTACCATCATCGTCATCATTATTACCATCATCATAATTATTATCCTCATCAGCTAGAGCATCATTATCACATCAAAAGCTGATATACATGCACTGCAAGTTAAAAGCCTTTTTAAGATGATACCGCAATTCTATTCTTAGTTTCATTCCAGTTGTATAGTAACCTGCATAAGATGAGATCAAGCTTATTATTATGAACGCAATATAATGTACATAAAATTTTCCTTTCTTGTTACATTACAGTAAGAGTAATAGCATACACCTATAACCATACACAAAAAAATATCATACTGAAAATATAATTTTACTGTGTGTACTCTAGCATTGGCAACAAATCCATCAATGGAATGTTGAGGGTAATCTGAATTGTTGACAAATGATTTCCTGCATCTGCCTGTATTGCATTTAAAAAGACATATTTGCAGTTGATGCAAGTGGTCATTCAAAATCTTTTTTACTGACTGTAACACATCACATTTTAACTGTATGACAATGATACGATACTAGATAATTATGTATAGGTAATATTGGGAGAAGCCACTTCAGACAGACCTGGTTTATAATGAGCTTTCTGAATGCATACTTGCTTAATTGTATAATTTTGCTTTGTGTGGTTAAGTTATATCAATAGTCAGTGACTTGAGAGAGACAATTGATAAACTAGTAAAAACTAAGAATAGCGAATAGCAGAACCCCTCCTTTGGGACCTCTATTAAGGGGACACTTTTTTGGCCATGATAACGAAAGGAACACTATGGACAACTCATATAAGGCAAGTCGAATTAGGTAGTGTTAAAGTAGCGGCTCCACAGCCTACAGCCATAAATCTGGAGGTGGAACAAGTCTTCTTGGATTATAAACTGTAGGTCCAGTGTACACAATTGGCTCATGCAGGACGAAGCTGGTGAGCTTTCAATGCACAGATGGCATGTTGCTTTTTGTCAGATAACTGACTTGTAACATGTCTTGTGCACACATATTTGACTGGTTTATTAATGTAGAGTCGCGTCCCATCCCGGCACCACAGTACATTATGTTTGGTATGGTGATGGTTGGGGACTAAGTTGTATAGTTGGGGACTATAGTAAGTTGTGTGTAGCTGAGAGGTATCACAAAACAAAAACGTAAAGGCTTACTGTACATGTATACTTCTATTTGTAGCCGAGTTGGTAAAAGAGGCAAACGATATACAGAAGGAGAGGGATAATTATAGCAAAGAGCTAGAGGAAATTAAAACACTGGCAGCATTCGCTGAAACTTCTAAATATGAGGAATTGAACGAGGTGAAGGCAAAACATCAGCAAGACATTGCATCCATGCAGAAGATGGTGGATGGTAATCTAGATTTTTGTTGTTCATAATTTATTTATTTGTTTTTTATTTTTAATAAATAAATTAATAAAAAATAATTGAAAATTTGTTTTAAAGTCTGTCAAAACTTATCTGGAAAATAGATGACAGATTTTGTATAGTGTGTATTGCTTTTATTTCAATTAAGTTTTGACAGACTAAACAAATTTTATTTATTTTTTGTTATTAATACAGTACTTAGATATATCCTTTGCGAACCTTTGAAAGAAAAGATATGTCGATACCACTCTCCGTTAAGGAGTTATGATTCTTTAAGTAACATGACCTCTGAAAAAATGACCAGCATGCTACAGTATATGCTATTCGGTCGAACAGTGAAATAATGGCAATGTGTGTGTTAACGCTACACAAATTGGTGTTCCATTTTCCAGTTCCATGAAGGCACATTGATACAATGTGGACTTTTTTTCAAAATTTATTTGGACTGCAAGACCTATTGATACTGATATTGACCTGAAGTCAGATCAATAAACACACGAAGAGGTAATTAATTTGATATAATAAAACACTGAAATTTTGCTAGATATTCCGTGGTGTTATAAAGTGTTTCCAGACTACATATAAGTGGTGGGTTCTTGGTAAGTTTTTGTTGTTTCTGTTATTGATTTTCTTATATCAATTATTTTAAAAATCCCAATTACTACAGAGGCAGTTGCTGTCACAACTGCAGAGGTAGGAGCAAGCTATCAGCAGGAGAGGCTTAAGTTGTTGGAGGCTAACGATCGCCTGTCTGAAGAGTTACAGAAAATTCATTCCTACGTAAATGAACATCTTTCAGGAGAAAGGTAAGCAATGATTTATTAAAATAATCACTGATTTATTATAGTAATCAATTATTCAATATAAATTGTTATCAAACAATATTATTCATTACTACTATGGCTATGAGTACTGAGGGCGAGTCCACATAATTTGCTGGAGGAATACAGAAATAGAAAAAAGGCACTCTTGTATTAAATGACAGTCTTCTGTCTTGTTACCCTTCCCATCTTATTAGTGACCGTCGCTGAAAATCACCCTCTCTTGATCAGCCCAATTATCATATAGTTTAATTAGTCTGTGGAGCCAAGTTGGCCAAATACTGCAAGTATTGCCATACAAGATTCTATACCAGTGGCTGATCCAGGAATTCAAAATAGAGGGGGCCGAGAAAAGGACTTTCACTGATGGTGGGTACATACTACTTCAGCCCCACAATGGTTGAAAATTTATGATTTTAGCATTATTATTAAAGACAAAAAATGACCCTTCAAATAATTTTGATTATAATATTGAGAAAGGGTGGTATAGTGTATGCGATAAGCAGTTTGGATTTTATTTATCGTATACATTTAAAACATTACAGTCATAAAAAAGGTGTTTGGTGTGTGCTCTGAAAGAATCACCTGAGCAAATCCGAAGGACTCGTTTTTGAAGACCAAAAATGAAATCAATGTTGGTTGATTCAAAGCTGGACCAGGGCAAAACAGTGTTCCTTACGTATAATATAAAATACAATTTTATATGTAAGAAATACAATGAAAACAATTTATACATAAATAAATGATGGCCAGTAAGGATTATATTATCATTAGGTACGTACAATCTTGGTTACCAATGCAATTGAGAGACTCAAAAGAATATAATCACCGTATCATGAAATTGGAGGAGGTTAAGTAAGCATAGATGCAAACAATAAACTTGGCAAGAAAATTAAATAATTACACAATGGTCAATAACGTACACATCTTTTCAGTGCACATCGTTGGACATCAAATTTAGGATGGCAGCAAATGTAATTAAAAATGCAGTTGCAGGTGGAAAGAACAGATAAAACAATGTTCCTTTGATAGTATAAGATACAATTTTATTTATAAGAAATGCAATGAAGAGGCTTATAGAAAACAATTTATACATAAATAAATGATGGCCAGTAAGTATTATATTATTAGGTACATACAATCTAATAAGTGTACAACATTGGGCATCACAAATTTGTGATGGCAGCGAAGGTATTTTAGAATTTCGAATGCAAACATGCATATAAATTTAGGACATAATATATTAATAATTAAACAATTGTCAATGACAACAGATCTACTAAATGTGCATCTTTAGGCATAACTTAATTATGATGGCAGCAAAGGTAATTACAAAACAAAAAAGAAAAAAGAAAAAAACTATTGCATGCCAGAACAACAACAACTTAATAGTCGAGAACATCAATCCAAAAGTTATTTGCATCTTATATTTGTTGTGCACTAAGAATGTTATTTAGATGGCGTACAAAATGCAATGCAGACTTATGTTGGAGAAAAAAGGAATGCAGAGGCATTGTTATGCAGATGAAAGAATTAAGTATGCAAAGACATTCTGAAAAGTATGTATGCAAATACATATGATAGTAAAATAACTTTAACCTTGACATAGTTTAGTTAAGCAGGTGATAGCAACAAAGGTAATTAACTATGCAAGTTTTAAAGATGCCAGAAATATTTGTGCAATTTTGCGTTTGGCTTCACATAGAATAAAAATTTAAATAAAAAATTATATTCTATTGAAGGTGCAAGACAGTATTAAAAATAAATGTTATATTGCAATTTAGTTAAGCTAACTTAATGCAAACAAGTCATGGTGGTCAGTGACGTCTAAATCAAAATGACGTATTTATATGGAATACAATGTAGTAACAGTTATATTATAATTTTCTAATATAAAGATAACATTACTCAATATGCAACACCTGTTCAGATTTAATACAAGTAGAACACAATTTGTAGATACCGGGTAGCCACTCCCTGGACATGAATTAACTTTACCAGGATATATATATATATATATATATAAATATAGAATAAAAATTAAATGAACCGCACCTACTTTTATCTACATAAATAAACCATATAAATCATGATGATGAGCTGCAGATATGCAATGAATAAAACATTATGTAGTACTACAGTAACTTACTTTAAAAAGACAAGGGATAAAAATTAAACCAATATTAGTAGACCTAGTGCGGTAATAATACAAATATTAGTAATAAGCAATAATAATGTAATTAATGATACTAAAAAGCGATCGATTGGTTCGAACCAACCAAGCTTGTTGTTGGTTGGTCCAAGGGAAAAAAACGTATGATTTCACTATACAAATGGCTCTCAGATCCATCGGTCTGGACCGGAATCCGGATTGGAAATCGTACAAATTTAATGTGAACATTTCTATTCTTTACCATTGAACACAATCTTTTACTGTTTTTTGTCCGGGCGCCGGACCGGATCCGAGCTTTGATGTGAACGTAGCTTTAGACTTAATTTGTAGCCTTGATGCCCATGACCTTTTTAAAAAAAATTTACAAAATTCATCAAATATTGTGTGCGCTATAATTACTAAATTTTCCGGAAAACATATGTATGATATCAGTACAGTCCCCACCTAACATAAGAAATAAACCAACATCCTAATTTGATCAAAACAGATTCCATAACTCTGAAAGGCCTGAGTCACGAAGCTTATCTACACAAGTATACTGTATGTACGTAATTTGTACTGTGCCTTGCTGTTTTTAATCGTTTTTACTTCCAGAGATCAGAGATTTATTTATATATTTTATGTATCCTTAAATCAGTGGAGAAACTTTATACAGCAATTTAGTTTGCTTTTTGTTTATCCTGTCTCTGATTTTTGGTATTGTTATTTCTGTATGTTTTTTTTTCTGTTTGACAAAATAAATGAAATGAAATGAAAATGAAATTTGAATAATGAATTCTCACATGTGTTACTTTTATAGTGTGACACATTCTCATCCAATATCCTGTAGACCTGTGTTACAGTATTGTAAAATAATTTTTTTGATATTTTAATGGACATAAATAGAAACTCAAAATATGCCATAAATTCTGAGACATTTAAAAGAATAGTACTACGATATGTAATGTAAATCGGCACAAACATTTGTCCTTACTCAAATAATAAATTAGTAATGACGTTTTCATTTTCATTTTCACACGATTTTCCTATCCCGAGCAGGATTCACTTTATAAAAGAAATATAAGAGAAGTTACTTAATAAATGCCTCATCAACCACAATCAATTTTTTCATTTTCATTGTATTGTGAAGAAGTATGAAGCGTGTAAGTGCTCATACTATTAGCAAATTATTCTCATACACGCAGATAATACACGCGCGCAGTAAATATATTGATCACTGAGCAACTAGTCACTGCAACCAGTGTTTGAATATGTATAGCCTCAATATATGTTTAAAACATGGTGACTGACTTAAGTAATTAATTTATTGTCAAGTTATTTCGAACCTTATAGAAAATAGAAGCCTCGGGAGCCATCAAAAATCTCCTTTAGCCTTGCGTTGTTCAGGCAATTATCTTGTTTCTTTTAGTATTCTGTATGCTTGATTATTAACCAAAATCAAGGAAATGACTACACCGCAGAGTTATGAAAGCCTATTGAGATAATTTTATAGGAAATCAGATATTACATACATTATGTATAGACTGTGTACTTTGTATGACTATGTTTCTGCAGTAACTTACAAAAATAATCAGATTAAAATTAAAGAAAACGCCGATGTTGGTACATGCACTTGATTAACATTGAGAGGTGGTGACATTGGTTATGCTACCATATCATATGCATACTGTACTATGCTCTACAGCTGTACCATAATAATATACTGTATATTTGTGCTAGCAAGCACAAACTATGATGTTTTATCTCTAAAGCTACTAGCAGCACCTTGGCTTGATCTCTTTGATTGAATACTTTGATTCTATGCTTCAATTTTTGCTCATATACACATTTTGTGGTTAATACTTGACATGACACAACATCATGTTAAATTTTGTGTGGAGAAACACCTTAATTTCATTTCATTTCTTTAGGCACGAGCGCCAAGGATATACCAATCAGCGAACTTAATCACTATCCTAGGTGGCATATTCTTAAAACAACAGGGGACTGATTGGACCAGTACACTGGGGTAACCCCCCTACTCTTCTCGAAGGATGTACTGGGTTCTTTAAAGTGCACACGGGACAAATGTGTACACTGGGCCTACGGTTTAAAGTCCTTGTTCGAGAAGACGTTCTACCACCCGAACCATTGGCGAACCAGCATTTACCTAAATGAGGGGGGTTGACTGTGTTTCTTCTGGGCATAGGGTTCAGAGAGGACGAGAACTTGAGTATTTAAATATATAACCATATGATACATTTTTCAAAATAAATACAATATTATAATTATCATACAAGAGCTTATTTTAATGGGATGGAAAAAGACTTATCTTTTTAAGATGGTGGAGGTTTTCCTGAATTAAAGTTTGTCAGAACCCCTAAAAATCCCTAAGAAAGGGACTTATAGTTTGGATCATGATATTCAGAAGAAATTGTTTTGGATCCCCTTAAATTTAATTTGTTAGATCAGATTTGTGTGGTTGCTACATTGTATTTTGTATAAAGGACTTGTTTCCAAAATAGAAGTAGATCGGATACATGTGGGACAATATTGTTTTGTTTTTTTATTGCAGTATACATTAGATTATGTACAAATTATTATTATAAGTATATTTAATGAGATTGCATTATCATTGCAGTGAAAAGGGTATATTGAGTGCAGTGACAAAGTCTTTCAAGAGTTTGACGGTGTCAGCCTCTCCGTCAAAGGATGCTGCTGGTACCACCAATGATGATTCCTCTATGGAGTCAAGCATGATCCAGGTTAGTTTGAACACAGATCCTTCTTTCAAGTCTACCTTCTTTATCCCTAAAAGGTATCTTTCATGTTCCCTTAAAAATGAGAATAATAGTGAATGAGTAGAGTATAATAATAATAGGTATATTTATAAAGCAAATAAACAAGGTTTCTAAGTGGTTTTGGCATCACCAACCTATCCAAAAAATAGGTGTGAAAATAAGACGGAACCATGTAGCTCATTTGAAGCCTCCATAATACTTAAATTTTCTTTGTCATATCTCTCTTCCTATTATATATTTGTAAATCATATCAATTTATTATTATTTACTTGCTCTTGATAACCTACAGTATAATACATAAGATGTAATATTTAGCTTTTTAAAATCAAATTTCAAGTAGTTATTTCTGTATTTGTTACGTTAAAAAAAAAAATAGGTTGAATGCCCAATTTATAACAAATTTAGTTTGTTAGACGAACAGTGTCAGAGACACAACAGAAAGCGCAATCAAAATACTGATGTACTTTTTCCCGCATTCTGTTGAACTCTACCTAGATGAGAAATTGGCAATTTCAGTTTAATAGAGAGTTTAATGATTTATACATTTTAATTTCATGATTAAATCAGGCCAGGAAGGACTCGGATATGTTGAAGGCAATCATCATACCACTGGAGGCAGAGATGGAAAATCTTAAAAAGAAATTAAATTCATCTGAAAGGGAAAATAAGCACCTTAAAGATGAACTTGAGGTAAATATCTTTCCACATACTTTATGTGGGTTAGTGGTAAATGCTTTGAGCTAATAGCCTGGTTCACGTCAAACTTTTATCTCGATATAGATCCACTTAACTAGTTAAAAGTTTGACGTGAACCACTCAATTATAGCTAGATAAAGGAATTAAGTCACTTAAGTTAAGTGACTTAACTTTACTAGAATAACGGTAAATTAACTTGCTTAACGGTAAAGTCGGCTCGGATTACAAGGACATGATTACGTAACGTAGGCATCTAAGCCAGCGTTGGTGTATTGTACCACCATTATCATGCTCTGGCTAGCAGCAACGTACTCCAACATTGCTAACAAAAGCATCGAAGTAGTCTCATTAGTCTGGTTTTCAGAAATTATTTGTAATATGGGTAAAAACCCAGCAAACGTCCGTTTTATGAATATTCGATATTACCAATGACCTTTGCCCTTTGCATCATCGACCAAGTAATAACGTTAAAAAGTCAGATTGGTACGTTTTTCAAAGTGATAATGTATATTTTTCTTAATAATAAAATCAGATTTGTTGTATCTATTTATTGACAATTCAATCTTTTCCATTTCTGCTATAATAGTCGCTATTAATTCATTTTCTACGAACCACCACCAACGCCAGTCGTTAAAATGAGCGCACATGTTTACGTTGACGAAACAAAAAAGTGTGGAAGTCAGCAACTTATTTGACACTGCGAAGCTAGATTTTCGCGAGGTGCATGTAAACAACTGGAAAAAAAAAAAAAAAAAGCACGACAGAAAGGTCCATAAAGTATGCAGACGTTTTAATGAAAAATAAAACAATATTTTGTTAAATGGGAGAATGCTAGCGAAAATAATTTGGTTTTTATCGAAGGTAAATATAAGCCAGGGCCTAGTATAGCCTACTACTATTGCGGTAGACCATGCTGCTGCACGGTTGGTTGGTTGGTACAACCTGCTGGTTGCCTATATATCAATGGCAGAGGATAGCTAGGCTAGGTAGTAAAAACTGACACCTGATCTACAGTAGTTTACGAATTTGTCAATTTTTTTAACGAATACCCCTTGGTACTAGAGGTTCATAAAATACAGTAGACGTTATTAAAAAAAAAAAAAAAAGCCTTTCCACCGTGTGACGTCGATGGCCACGAAGCTGGGTGTTTATCTGGTTAAACTTGGCATCGAACGCAACTAGGGATAAATTGTATCATATTTCAAGATTTAGTTAAGTGGCTTAACTTCGACATGAACCAGGCTAATGAGTTTAGATTAGTGGGTTTAATTCTAAATGCTACTTATGCTTTGTGTAATAAACTGTAGTCATTACACTTATAGACTGCTTAACATTCAGTGTCTTTTTTGATATCCATGTTTCACATCTTGACAATGCTCTAATAAAGAACGAAACGTAAAATCAATTACGGCCTCACGTTTGTCATCCTTCGGCCCGAGTCATCATACTCATATAGAAAATGCATATGCTTCTATTGAATTCTACTTAAATGCATTGTTTATTAACTGTAATCATTATGTAGTGCTTAACATTCTGTATCTTTATTGATATCCATGTTTCACATCTTGTGGTATAATGTTGTACTTGTAGTTATAGTAGAAAATGCATATGCTTCTATTATAATTCTGATTATATGTAACATATTGTGGTTTATTGTTTTACTTGCATTAGTAGAATGCATAGTTGTCAAAGTTGTCTTAAAGACAGTCATTTATTGTAAATTCTAGAATTCAGATTTAAAAATGTTCAATTTTTAGATACGTTTCCTAAAGGTTGGTCTTGATAAGTTGTCTTCTCCCTCTTTCAGCAATTGAAACCTGACTCAACAGGTTCAAAATCGTCAAGACAAAGGTCTGGAGCTAATGCCGACTTAGAAGAAAGGGTATGAAATTCATATGAAATTCCATATATTGCAGAACATAACAGAATGTACATATATACATTTTTTTGAGATACAAAAACAGTTACAAATGTGATAGATTATATATTAAAAATAAATTGTATTATATATTTTTTCCTTTCCGATGATCCAAAATACAGTATAAGAAATTGTAATAATAGTACAGTAATAAACTGTAATAATAATTGATCCAGATGATTTCTTTTTAGTGATAGATTAATTTTTTTTTTAATGAAGAAAAAATATACCAATAGCAATTTAAAACATTTGGAATTTTGTTACCAATTGAACAAACCTACTCTGAATTTTAATAATTAAATTCAACATTGAAAGTAAAAAATGTCTACATTAAAATTATGTACAGTAAATTTATTTAGAATGCAATTTTCAATGAGTGTATATTGTAAATGTTTAAATTTCACCTGGTTTCTCTCAGTGTACTGCATCTATATATCATTGAATACATTCAATGCTGGCTTGTGTTATTTTACTCCATCTTGGATGTTTCCACTTGCTGTAGAACACCCCTAACAATATACTACTACTACCGTCTTCTCCTGATGTATAACATTTCATACGTTACGTTTTTTTAGGTCCAGGAACTTATTATAACCTTAGAGAATGAGAAAGCTTCTAGATCAGACCTTGAGATGTACGTTGCGGTACTCAACAAGCAGAAGTCAGTCCTTCAGGAAGAGGTTGATACACAAAGTAAAGAGCTTGTTGATGGTTAGTGTTTATTCATTCTTGTCACATTATTGTATTATATCATTATAGTATAATATATTATTCACTTATATTTTTCATGGACTGTTTGTAACATACTTTTTTCTATACATCATTTTTATTATTTTGTTTTTGATTTATAGTGCATTATTCAAACTTACTACTGTAGTCACTTTAATGGTGTGTGTGATGTGATCTTTTACCTTTTCATTTTACTTTTTTAACTTTTCAGACTACAGTTTAGGTTTTACTCTACAATTATAAGGCTTTTATTTTTAATTTTGTTATCTTTAAATAGTTTGTTTTTCTATTGCTAACTTCATGCTTATATTCTTTAAGGATGTCTTGTGTCCATGCCCCCTCGGGGCAATGTTATGATCTTGCAATTAAAAATAGCGGAAAGTGTAAATCCAGTGGAGGTGCATGATGGGTCATGTGTTATCTTAAGTATGTTATTACTGTACAAAAGTCATAAAAAAAAACACCACACATTTCCTGAACCAAATTCCATGTGGATACTTTATTAGAACATAATTATAGTAAGGCCATATAGGGCATAGGTGCATGCTCCTGCTGTGAGCCTATTTTAATTTTCATATTATCTGCTGTAGCTAATATCAAGTGTTAATTTTTTTTGTTTAGAATTTCAATTTTCACAATTCTCTACACGTGCCTATGAGAATCTGAAAGTTCAACACACATATTAGTTTAATGCACATACTGCATTATTCTGGAATCAAATAGCATGTATGTAAACAGCTTAGAATGCTTAACAAAAAATATGGTTTCTATAGCAGCATAAGCCAGGGACTGTTCCATGTATTGCCGATAAAAAAAAAATGTAAATTATTTTTTTAATTATGCATATCAACATTTCTTTTTCAGTTTGCCAGCGTTTGGAAAAGGAAAAAAATGAACATGATACCTTGAAGCAAACCTGGCAGATGGCAAACGATCAGTTCCTTGAAATGCAACGGCTCCAAATGAACGACATGAGGCGGTTCCAGGCCGTACTGAGCGCGGAGCAACAGCGACAAATACAAGAAATGCAAGAGAAAGACCGAGAAAGAGAGGAGCAGGAACAGAGAATTAAGAATTTACAATCAATGAGGGATAGACATTCTCAGGAAATAGAGGAAATAAAAGCGAAAGAGATGGGGGTGAGTGTCAAAATGTGGTGAAAGATAATTACTTGAAAACAGGGTTGATATGTCTAGGCATTTGGTGTATCTTATGGTGGTTCATTTTGTAAAGTACTAACAAGTTTCTGCTATAAGATTTCAGGTGACAAGAGACATTCTAGAGATACCATTTGTGTACATGGTCAAGCCAAATCAGTCGCTTGTGATCGTCAACTGGAGAAAATTAAGTTTTAAATTACTGTATGTTCAGAAATTTGTGGTCCAACCCAATCTGTCACAGAATGTTTCTATTTTAAAAATATCGGTATATCTGACCAGGGATGTAGAAACTTTTCTCGTCACCTTGCACTAATTTTTGTAACATTGAGACATATTTTTGAATATTATATATTTTATCATTTCAAGGGTGATGGAGATCGAACGTCAAAAAGAGGTGCCAGTTCACCGATCCCAACCCCATCCTCCAACACTCATCATAAGACTCCTGAAATTGGAGGAACGTCAGATGACAGCTTAGCGTATTCAAACAGCGGATCCGAAGGCTCCAGGACGTACAGAAGGAGTATATCGGATGTGTCCGAAATCATGGATACACCATTGTCACATAATCAGGTGGATTTGTCAGACAGTGGTGTGGATGGTATAAATCCTGACACTCAATCTATTGCATCCAGTTACAGCCTTACAGAAGCTCAGGAGAAGGCCATCCTTAGTAAGTATTTAAATCAAGTATTTGTAATGAAATCAGAAAGAACTTTATACCCTTTCACAGTAAAATTCAAATACTGATTTGTTTACTCTTGAATGAGATTATCAAAAAAATATATATATCTATCAATGTGTCTGAACTAATTTTATTAATAAATAAAATTATATTTTATATATATATATTCATAAACAGAAAATCAAGGCTCATTTATCTCATGCAAGCTTGGCTAGATGATGATAACGTATAATCAAGGCTGGAAAAGTGTGCGACCAGCAGTCGGAGGCATCATATAAATGTCCCGGAGACATCTTCTGCAAAAAAAATTCTAAAAAGTAAACTAGGTCTATACAGTGTACACATAACATTAAATGCTGGAAGCATTTTATTGAGACAATTTTCATAGTCAGAGGCACAATTTTTCTAAGCATGTGTATAATAATATTTATAAATGGCATACAATAAATATTGATTTATTTCTTACTACAGGTGAAACCCCAGAGGGTGAAAGAATGCGTTCAGTGGTAGCCAGTGTAACAGCACCCTCTGAGTTCATGAAGGTGTCGTCTGGTCAGCGAATTGTCAGTGAGAAGGAATGGATTCAGATACAAGAGCAGGTAAAGGCCTTCAGAATGTGTCCAGGTAGCGAGCATCCGTATTTAGAAAGGAGGGCCCATATTTGGAAATGGAGGTCCATATTTTGAAATGGAAGGCCATAATTAGAAATGAGGATTGGCTTGGATTTATTTAGTATGATATACACCAAGGATAACCCACAAAAGTCTAAGGATAGATAAATACTTTTGGGGTCCTTCTGGTGGTGAATTTAGCAGTACACCAGAAAGACCCTGTCTTTGGACTTTAGTGACGATATACAGATAGGATGCTTCTGGTGATGAATTTGGCATTACACCAGGAGACGGTCCTCTGCTCTTTATCAAAGATTCTACTGTATTTTCCAGCTGAAACACAATGATAGAACTGGAGACCAAGATATCTATAATGATCTCCATGGTTCAGAGCACACACTCAGTCGCTATCATCTGTTCATCTGGTCTCTTTTGGAAGGGCGCCTAATAAATGATTATTATTATTATTATTATCATTATTATTATTATTATTAACTGAGCTTAGCTACTTTGTAGCCCATATTTGAAAAATGCAGGCTCCTATTTGAAAATGAACATCCATATTTAAAAAGGAACTTGTATTTTGTTCTTTTTTTATGCAACTATTTTCTACAATTACCTGAATGAATGCACTTTAGACCTTTTTATCAAAATACTAGGGGGTAGCAGCTTAGCAGCTTAGCTCAGTTGGCTGAACTGGTGGTAGCCACTGAATGTGCACTGAACCGAATGTGCACATTCATATATAAAAAGAAACTTGTATTTTGTTCTTTTCATTCTGAACTGTGGCGATCTCTAGGCCCTCGGTTCAATTTCACTCGCTGCTCTACTCATATTTCAGCTGGAGGGCTGAAATGCAAGTTACGATAGTGCACAATCTTTTGAATGTGAAGTTTAAGCCTTGATCATGTGTGCATTATGGCCCATGTGCACGTTAAGAATGCAGTGCACTCTTTGGAAAAAAGTTGGGGATTGTCTCCCGGTGTAATGCCAATCTCCCCTCCTGAAAATAAGTCACCTTCAGACTTTCATGGGTTATCCTTGCTGTTTACACTGAATAAATCCATCCATCCATGTTTATAAAAGATAAAAATCTACCATCATGATTTTCAACACTTCTTAATTTCTTGAGTCTGAATTGTTATATACATTCCTTATTGAAAGTTGAAACTAGTAGCCTATTAATCATTAACACTCTGACTGCCAGGGGTTTGAAAAATAGTCAGACTTTCTAGCAAATTTTAATACTTTTCCGAAGCTCATTGAGAGTGCGTATGTGATCTGATTGACATATAGTGAATAAAGAACTACAAAAATTTTAGCTTTACAATGGTACCAAATACTTTATTCGAATCACAATCTATGACCCGTAACAGTAAAATGAAAATGAGTCACTTTTGGAGAATTACGCAATTTCGCACAACGAAGCTGAGATAATCCCGATTTTGTGAAAGTAAATCAACACCTCTCTATGCTAATGTAAACAAAGAAATAGTGAAATACTTACGGTCCAGGCTGAATAGTGTTCAGATGTCGGTAATTACCCCATCTATCGGATTCTGTAAAAAAACCTGGAACACGTAGATCTCCATGTTCTGCTGTCAAGCGTTGCGTTCCCAAACACAGAGATATCCGTGTTTGGCGGGCATAGTGTTAATCATTAAAAATAACTCAATTGTTTGATTTGTATCACCTTCAGATTAGACAGTCTCGAGAAAAACTTGGGCGACCATGTGACATGTGTGTAAACTATGAGCAACAGTTGCAGAAAGTTCAGTCAACAGAGATTGCATTTAGAGAACAAGTTGCTGCCTTACAGATGGTGAGCGTTAGGTGTTTCTTTAAGCCTTGTGTACGCTGCATTTGCGAAGCAGACCACTCTGTGACAAGTGCATCTGCACTTCGTGCAAATGTTTGCTTGATGCTTGAATACTGACCATTGGTGGTAGTCTTTGTAAACGATCTGTTGTGCTGTTTATTATTTATATTGTCTATGCAGATTGTTGTACACTTGCCATAAATATTAATATGCACATAAATTGGAACAATTGCAAATTAGTTGGTACAGGATTTTTGCAAACGTTTCATTTAATTACCATTACCAGTTCTTCTTTAAACATTCTGTTCCAGTTTGCTTTAAGAGAACTTAGACAGTCTGACTCAAAATTAATTGTGTTACTTGCATTCAAAATGTGTTTGTCACTACCATAGAGGTATAATAAGAATAGCGATAAATGTGTTGTATTCGATGTTTGAAATACGCAGAGCTGTGTGCGTGTTCCGTACAATATGGCTGCCGTAGATTCAGCCAATCATAATATATGCTAAGCATTGTTTCAATGTCACCCTTAATGTAACTTTAAAGTTTCGAATACAGCTGCGTTGAAACTTGAGTGTTGCGGTCTAGCGTACACCATTTCAATTTTCATTCCTCGGTACTTTATTTTTAATCCGGTACTCCACTTGGCTTCTTTTTGGCTTTTGATAGTTTAATGATTTAATAATATTAAAAATAATGATTAATGAAATAACAGTTAGTCAGCAGTCTTATTTATTTGTAATAAGCACACTAAGTCTGAAGGTGGTGCATTCATACGGCAGCCATCTTGGATGGTACACATACACAACTCTGCATTGCTTCGTCGCCTACTCTGCACTCTAGTTGTTTAATAGCTCTATTCTCAGTGCAATGATATTGTGGACATTTTAGTGATATTACTTCATTAATTTAATTCAATAAATGAGTATAAGTGATAATAGTTTTGCTATCAGATTAAGTTAACAGTTAATTATAATAGTTTCACTTTTCTTTAGGATGTAAGGCAACAACAAGAAAAGGTGAAGAAAGAGATGAGACAAAGATCTGAATTAGAAGAATGTCTGAAGAATGCTGCTGAGGATGCTCAGAGACAGGTCAGTCCTAAAGAGGGCAGCATATCTCAGTTGGTTAAACTGTCGATGTTTAACTACCACTTATGTGGTGCTTGGGTATTTTGCTTGATTTTGATTTTCTTTATGGTAGTGAATTGTTTTAAAATATTTCAAAGCCCATCTGTAAATCGTCAGTCACGTCGCGAAACACAATCAAACTAGATTGTGTTTGTTCATGAAATCACAGAAGCGCGTCAAAACAAGCGCGTATTGGTTGTCAAGCACTTTTGTATTCTTTACCACACAAAAAGTCTGTAACTACAACAGTGCATATTTTGACACGCTTTCTTGATTTCATGAACTAACACAATCTACTTTGATTGTGTTAGTTCCTGATGTGAATGACGAATTAATGCATGAGACAAAGTACATTCAAATTAACCCTTTCCAGTTCTATGGCGTCGCGACGCTGCGCCTTTGACCATACTTTATAGCGAGGGGCGTTGTACATACACCCTGTATAGATTTATAATTTTTTTGTAGCTAGGCTGCCCTCTATAGGATTGTTTGAGAGTGATGTAGGAGTATTTCTGTAGAGGGCCTCCTGGATTCAGACCAAATAAAATGCCTGTGCCGAGTAAAAACCAGACACTTAGTGTAGATGATGTAATTTCTCAGCTTTGGTACAGCCTCAGGCAATGGTAATGGGGACTGGAAAGGGTTAAATTAGTGTTAAAATATTTAAAGAGAAAAATCAAACAATTTTCTAATGTGGCTCTTGTACATGGCAACCAATTGCTGGGTGGATATTTTTCAAGAATTTCTTATGAATCTAGTCTGTTGTGGTAGACTTTGTTTGACACAAAATTAAAGAGAGATGGAATAATAAGGGAGGGTGCATCATTATACAAGTACAATTTTGGTGAATTGTACAAAAATTGAATGAAAAAAAAAAGACGAAGACATACCAATAGATTTATTTTTGTACAATTCATATTGTTTATATGTTTTAACAGATACGCACCTTAACCGCCAAGAATAAAGAGTCTGAGGATTTCCTGTGTCTACTACGTCAGGACTACTTACGCAATAGTAACGAATTACACGATCAACTGGTAATTACCCTTCTTTAATATCTACCAAGTTAGGTCAAGTTTGTGTTCTTCGGAGTAGTTGGCACAGACTTTTATTAGCCAAAACTAGATAAAATGAGGACAGATGAAAATGCGCCGGTTTACTGGCTGCAGAGGACATAAATTGACCCTCAAGTGCAACATCTAGTCCCGAGCACATAAAGACCTCATTTATTTGCGCTATATAAATCCATCTATTATTATTTATTTTATTTTATTAAAAAGAAAGCAACTATGGTATTACATACTTGACTAAAAATTGTATTTGTCCAAGGAGTATACCAGTTTGGTCTCATAGTTCACTTGAGAGTAATTAGAGGGTCTTAGGTTTAATGAGAAATAATAAAAAGGTTTCATAAAAAAAAAAGTAGATAGTATCACTGATACCAAATTTAATAACATGCAAAGAAAAATAGCTTAATAACATGCAACTATTTTATATATTTTTTTTTCTTAAGCAAATGTTTATTCAATCAAGGGAACAAGTGTATGAAGAGGTAAGTGCAAATGGTCACATAGTTAATAATGAATAAAACTCTTGAAAACAACATTTACCTTAACAATGGCTTTGGTATTTAATCTAGGTATAGTAAGTATGTAAAAGGTATAAATTATCTTTCATTATTGCAAATGAGTGGATTAATGTGAAATGGTAACAATAATTATTACAGTAACATCTCCTAATTACGAACCTCCCATTTACAAACTCTCGATTTTACGAACCCAATTTGTGGCAATGACGTCATTACAAACGATCATTTTTAACTACAATAACACTTAAAATTGTATTTAAAAACCTTCAAAAATAATATAAAATGTTACATCTAAGAAAGAAAGCATTTAAACCAATAAAATGACATAAAACTAAGTTTAAACAAGAAATATAAATCGTTTTCAGCCAAGATATATTCTATTTACAGTAGGAATAGAGAACCTCACATTTTGTATTGAGGGCACTATTTGAATGGATTTGTAATCATTATGAAGAGAATAATAACACTCATTTTGGCCAATAATGGTAATGTTTTCATTCGGAAATCACTTCAAATGAATACTTTACAGTGAGTACAGATAATTTTGACTTCTGTACAGTATCATTTTGTTGTAGACAAAGTCATATTTTGTGACAAAGTTTGCTCCCATGGCAAAGCTACAGTATATCCTACTGGCCCTGAAGTGTGTAGCCCTGTAGCATATGCCTAGGCTGAAGTGTGTAGCCCTGTAGCATATGCCTAGGCCCATCCTTACCGCACCGGATTACGAAACTTCTCATTTACTTCTCATTCTGTTTAGACAGAGGCGTATGTAATTGGGAGATGTTACTGTATTGATATTTATTTGAATAAACATTGGTAAAATTTTTGCAGGTTACAAAGCTTCAAGAGGAGAATAAAAACCTTATAGGGAAGCGAGCTATACATACATCAATTGCCAATAAAGATGGCTTTCAAATGCCAGACACAAAAGAATCACACACCAAACTGGAAAAATGTGAAGATTCTAAACAAAGTACAACACTGGAAAGCCAGAAAAGAAGCAGTTTGGATTCACAAAATGGAAAATAATGTTAACTGGGATGAGGGAGGCCATGAACTAAGTCATGTTTACGATGACCTATTATTCAAACAGAGCACACAAGGGAGGCACAGGGTTGAAACTTGTGATGGCGCACTCACAAATCGAAGCGTGAACGACCCAATACAACCTAGGGTCCATTAGCCTGAAGAAAGTGACCGAAGTAGTTGCTGAAACCGTTGCTAAGGTAAGCAACTAATTGGTTCAACAAAACAAATAATTCTATAGGATATCCAAGTTGTATGTCATGACAAAATGTTGCCCTTGAAGCTGGGTTTATGTGGCAAGGCTAAGCCCTGTATAGCATAGAGCCTTACCTCTGACATGCTACATGATCAAGTTTTCTGAATTACACATTTCTCAATTTTAATGCTGTTTGGATGTAGGGTTCCTTATTAAGTCAGGCTAATTAATTTTTCCAAAATGCTGCTGATTTCTATTCCTTTTAGTTGCATACTGTATAAAATACAGCTACCTGTACTAAATTATTTCATTCGTTCGTTCATTGTGGAAAGTAGTTTATACATTTTATTTTGATACTATAGCAGTAAGTATAACAATCAGGGACCTCATTCACTTCACTAATTTTATTCTTATTCTGTTTTATTTTATAGGAATGTCAGGAGATGTTGACAAGGTACAGAGAAGATATGATCAACATCCAGGTATCAATTGACCACGAAAATCAAAAACTTACAAATGAGATTTCATTTTTAAAGAATCAACTGGAGAGTGAGCAACACACTCGAATGTCGCTGGATCAAACTTACCAGCAAGAACTAGAAGAATATAAAGATGATCATGGTAAAAATAATTACATTAGTGTATTTGTTTTTATTGTTTTATTTTTCTATTTGCGCATAACATGGAAAATAATGATGAAAATAGACTTTTCGTCTGGTTCTTTGGATAGTTTTGCCAAGGTCAAATAAAAAGATGTGTGAACACGTGTTGGTGGGAAGTGCACATGTTCCTGGCCCTGGAAACATCAATTCTTGTTGTTATGAATGTTGTCAGAACCTGTTACTAGGGAGCTTTCAATTGCACGACGATGGTAGGACTTAGAACGTAGAACGTAATGACGTCATTAAAAGTCATCTGCGCATGCGAGAACGTTAAGGTCATCTCGTCGAGTAGATTCTGAACGCAATTTGGCCAAATCTACGTATGCAGAGAAGGTAGGACGTCATGTAGGACGATCACGCATGAGTGATTCCGTTTTAGCGTCGAGTCGTCGCACAAATCGAATGCTCCCTATTACTTGAGCTAAATGAGACCATTGATTCCTTTATGATTGTTTTTTTTTATGTAATATGTACGGGGTTATTGTGACTCTGCATCCTTCATAATTGTATTAATAATATTATTTTATTTGTATATAATATTAATTTTAAGTCGCTTATACAAAGACGCAACCAACTTTCTATAACATTGAGACAATTCATTTACCTCACACAGAGCATGTCCAGAGGAATAAATCTAGGGCAGAAAAAGTAATATAAATCACTTATTTTGGTGCATGATTTAAAATGTTTATTTTGATTGTAATTTGCAGTTAAGATACGCAGTATTAAAGATGAATTAAATAGAACAACCACAAGTCTACAAGAATTAGAAAAGGAACACAAGTCGTTGATCGAAAACTCACAAAGAAATGAACAACTTACAGAATCATTGAAACAAGAGAATAAACAACTTCAAGAAATTAAGGTAACTACTAACAGCAGTACAAAGTTGTACCTTTTAGAGTTTTGGTTCAAACAGCTCGTAGCTTTCACTGTTAACGTACCAAATTCATTCAGTTATCTGGCAACAGTGATTAGTCACATGATTACACAAATGAGCAATCACATTTCATCAGATGACTGAAGATAGCTGGGGGTGGGGGGAAGGGTTGTATCGAGTGTCTCTGTTCAGGGTTGGTGTCTGTGTTAAGGTTTCTATGTTTTCCCTTAATTTTTTCTTTTCCAGAGTGTGTTTTTTATCCTTATAATTGTGCAAATCAATAATTGAATTGTAAAGAGTATATCTATTAAAAGTGAATTTCAAGTATGATCATAGTAATATGACATCATATCATATACTCGCATATAAAGCCACCCACGTATAAGACGACCGACTCCCCCCCCCCCCAAGCTCCCCCACCCAAGTTTGAGAAGATTTTTGGATGATTTTTGTGTGTTGTTTTTATCGTCGAAATTTCTAATTTTTTTCTGCCTTTTATGGTCTTGATACTGCATCTAGCTGCCTAAAATTGGAGCCAAATGCAAGGTTAATCTTCCAAATACTGTAATACCATTTTTTGTGTTCTTAAATGTTCATCAAAATCTTATTGCCCTTTATTTAAAATTGTGTTCATTCATACTAACATTTAGTAGCTTCATTGCAGTGTTACGGACGATCCATGCATAAGATGAACATGATTTAAAAAATCAAAAATTTGTATGTTGTGCGTATAAGATGACCCCCTGTTTTTAGATCGTAATTTACTATTTTAGGCCTCGTCTTATACGCGAGTATATATGGTATGATATGTATCATTATAATATATTTTGTTTTATTCAGATAAACCTTGAGAGTAATTTACGGCAGAGTAAACTGAAGACACATGATCTCCAGCAAATACTCGATAACAGTGAGGCAGTGCAACATGACCTTGTTAAGTTATCACAAACATTGCAGGTAATTTTATTTTTTATTAATTATGATGGTACTCAATGTTGCTGTATTGTGTATACAGTGGATTAGGATACAGTTATGTATGATATTATTGTAGACAATTTATGTCAATTATGATGAAAAGTTGATGCAGAAATTGGGGATACAGATGTGTTGAAGACAATGATGTAGATATAGACTATGGTCTCACACACACACCATGTAATGTTTAGCAGGATTGAGATTAACAACATACATGCTCACCGTTGCATTCATACAAGAAAATCCCCGACCAGGTATCAAGAAGATGATGGTGTGGTCACTGGCCTATAGGAAATTGGAAATGTGTACGTCTGATTGGTTAATGATAGAAATGAGGTCAACTTGCTAACCGCTAATGTTCGCTAACCGATAGTGTATCCACTTCCTTTGAACGGTTAGAGCTAGCCAAATAGGCATTCTCATATGTGTGCTAACTTTTTGGGCTAACGGTTAGCTCCCGACCTGGGTATTAAGGCTCTAGTGTGAACCTATCCATGAAGAATGATGAGGGTGTAGACAAAGGGGATTCAGATTATGATGAAGATGATGATAGTAGTGATGACAAAGATGATGGCAAAGATGATAATGTAGACATGAGGATACAGATGTGATGTTGGTATAAATGCAGAGTATGAAGATGATAGTAATGATAATGATGATGATTGTAACAAAGATAATAATTATGACACTAAATATGCTCATGATGATTTATCATTATGATTCTTACAGAAATATTTTCTCATTAATATGTAAGTCAAATTATGGCATGTGTTACACAAAATGTAATAACAAATGTTTTGTCAAAGTGAATATATTATTATCGCTATGTCATTATCATCATTATAGTAATTTTGTAAACTTGACTTCTTTTTTCAAGGTGCAATTAGAAAATGTTCGTCAAACTGATAATGAAGTGCGATGGGAACATGAGGATGATGTTGAAAATTGTCATAGATGTAAACAGCATCTAAAAGATAAAAAGAAGAAGGTGAGATTCAAACCATATCAATTTATACATTAGTATGAAAGTGAAATAAAATATAGATTTATAAACAAAAAAAAAATACTATAGTATAGGAGAAAAATGTTCAACAAGAAACAATATTAAGTAATTAGTATAATTATAGTTAAATGTGCAGCCTTCATTGTTGCATAATTGTTTTTTGTTATAATGTCTGTGCAGATTATCAAATTTTCTTTGACAAAAAACTAGAGTATGTTAATATATGATGTGCCTATATATATGGATTTTATGTGATGTCATCATGACCATATTTAGGCATGTCACATGGTTTGTCAAATAAATAGTCTGGCCAGGGCTTTGGCTAGTTGCTGTATGCTTTTTAAATTCTAATTTGATACCACTTCACCTTCCAGCATCATTGTATGCACTGTTGTAAAATCTTCTGCATTGACTGCCTGAGCAAGTCGGTTGAAAGTGGTCCGCGACGACGCAAGATGCAAGTCTGTGACGTATGCCACACGCTGCTCGTCAACGAGTCTGCTCCATACTTCAGCAAGGAAGCACCAGATACGTCTTAATATCAGGTGCAAGAAATGTAAGCGATTCATGTGGACCAGAATGTAGCAACGCTTCATTAGTGGAGGAAGCATGTTTGAAGCAGAATGTAGCATCACCTCAGTAATGGAAATATCTTGTGGGTGGAGCAAAATGTAGCAGGAACTGCACTAATGGAGATATCATGTTTGTAGTAGGAATTCAGCATGTCACAATGATATATTATCTACCAATCTGTTGTATGGCAATTAATTAGCAATGCTAGTGCTCAATCCAACAATTGTAGAATGTGAAAGTTTGCTTATTTTTTTAGCTTTTTTTCAAAACAAAGTCATTTAACTTTCAGTTATTTTTTTGAATAAACATTATTTCTGTACGTAATTTTCAATCTGTAAACTGGTTATTGATAATATAAATTATAGATAAAGAAACAGGTTCCGAAATATTTGTGCACAAAATGGAACATCCGTACAAACAAACAAATTGAATATATTTGAATAATCTATTACAGCATACATGACATATAACCCTTCAGCGAAACCATATCATATTTTAGAGGGTGCTTTAATGTTTTTTTGTTATCCAACAGTGTGTGAATTACAACTTACAATATTGACTAATCTTTAAGGTTTAGTTTATTTTCCAATACAAAGTAATGGAAAGGAAATTTTTTTTCCCAGGTTCAAGAACTAAAAATACAGTATTACTCATCAAAGGTTGTAAGAAAATAACTATACTTAAGCTTTGTACATATAACAAAAAGGTAATTTGTTATAGAGAAATACTAAGGCGTAACAATAGTAGATCCAGGAATTTGAAATTGAGGGGCCCAGAAAGACAAGATGGCAGGTTGCGACTACCTCAGCCCCACCATGGTTTAGGCTGTCTCAAACTAAAATTTGATTGTAATTTTCTTTATTTTTTTTTGTTTTCAAAAACTTAGGGGAGTAGTTCCCCCTCTGTGCTCAATACTTTATGTGGCTCATGTTTTAGAAAATATACTGATATTCGCAAGATTTGACCACAGGACTGTTGATCTTATATTATTGAACCTGTTTCTTTATGTATAATCAAATATATAATTCCTTCTAGATCCATCAAACAAAATTAAATTACATAGCACTGTGTTTCACTATAATTGATGATTGTTTATATTTCTCCATGTTGTTTTGGTTAGTATGGGTATTATGCTAATTATATACACCAGTTACACAATTAAATTATTTTTTATAACAGTACATAACTTCAATTGGTTGGCCAATCATGTTGCCTCACCACCCACAGAGAATTTTATATGTCAAATGAGCATTTAGCTTTGGTAATAGGTCCATCTTCCAGTTCAGTCTCAAGGTACGGTATTTTGTGTTGAGTAAACCCAGGCACTCGCTACGTCGTACTTGTGAGCGCTACATCATGCAACGCTGTCTGCTGTTTGTCGGTTGCAGTCTGAACGGATCATTAAAAACGATCGCTGTGTGTGCGTGGTGGCACTGTGTTCTCCATAGAATTGCACTGGCCTACGACCATCGAGGCGCAGTTGGTTCCCGGCTTAACTGAACTTAATAAAATTATTGAATGTTTTATTTACTTGCATTTGTTAAAGATATACCACCATCTAAATACAACACATTAGTTGAAATATTAAAAAAAGAAATTTAATTTCTTAATTTTTATATTTCAATATACTATTAGCTGTCAAGTGAAAATTAGAATAGAAAATTTTCTTTCTATGTCCTAAAATTTTTCACTTTAGTCTGTGCAATATACTGTAAACTTTCTGGCAGCAATTTTTGACATTTTTTTAGTAAAACATTGAAAACTTTTTTGTTTTGTTGACTTACTGATAGTTGGTAAATTATGCAGAGAAAAGTTTGGATAGGGGCACGTAGCGGGCAGGGGTCGTCTTTGAGATTTTCGTTTAGAAATGCTTTACCATAGACACTGGTTCATGGAATTTAAATCGAAAATTAGCATGTTTTGGAGTAAGCCTATGGTACATGTACCATGCCTCTCTTTTTCCTTTCTTTTCTTCTCTCTTTTCCCCTTTTTTTGGATTCATACCTCACATGCCTCCCCCTATATCTGACCCTGCTTATATTTTTTCTTTTAAATGGGTGATGGTTTCCCCTTTAATTTTATGGGTGGTAGTATATTAGCTTTCAATTTAAAAATCAGTCTGAGAAAACACTTTCTTCTCTTGAAAATAAAACTGCTGCTAATAAATCAGTTCATGGATTCTTAATTTGAAATGTCTTAAGTGAGTTTTTCAGACTCTCCCACCTGACACCTCCAAATTTTGTCACAGACCAAGTCAGATAGGCAAAGAGTACATTAAGGCAAGCTGAAATATTTGAGTATGGACACTACATTTTTGTCTTACATCATATACATTGTAATAGGCATAAACATTTTTTTTTTAAATTCAGAAAAGTTTTTAACAGTAGTAGGGGTCCCAAGTTGGAAGACGTCACTTCCAGGAGATTTGGTTAAATTAGTTTTAATATTTATATAGGCTCTGGATAAAAAATTTAAAACTTACTAACCTTTCAGCTGTGCTACAGACCACTTGGAAAAATCGAAGGGTCAAAGGGTATCCGGAATCACCGAGGTCAAGTGACCTGCCCCTCTCCCCCCCCCCCACCATCCGACGGCCTTCTCAGGATATTGTTCCACACATTGGGAAAGTTGTGTCTCCCACCATTCGCATTGAACGTAGGGCTGTGTTGCCAGATGTATACGGCTTCCTTTATGCCTCTTACAAAAAATGTTGGTTCGACGGTAAGAATCTCTGTATTACATTTAATATTATTTTACTGCGCAGGAGATGATTAAAGAAGTAGTAAGATGCAGATATTGTATACATTTTCGGGAAATTCTTGCTTGCTTGCGGAAGGCCGTCCCTAATTCTGTGGGACTCCTATAACTGACTGGAGACTTGAGACCCCTGCTGCAGTGTTCGTGTCTTTCTAGAAACAATCATATAATGCTTCTCTATGGTGCTTACCATTTAGGTTGTTTTGTTATTACATGATCCTTTTGTTTATAGTAATCATTTTAGATTATACTGTGTAATGCCTCTCCTTCTTCCTAGGTAAATGACTGTGTTTTTCACTTTTGGGTATAATGCAGATTTACCTTAACAACTACACCAATAGTCATAAGCAGGCGTAAGGCAATGTTCGCCAAACAACTCAAACTGATGATCTAGGTATATGCATTGGTTTCTTTCTAACCATGTTGTTAATCTTGTAGTTCCAATTGCACATATGCAAGTTAAAGGTCAAAGCTATTAACAAATAATCTAGCCTATCACAGTGCAGGTATTGAATGAATGTTTATGTTGTATAATAATTTGTTTTATTATTTTTCTTGACCTTTGGCATATGTATGTACTACAAGATGTCTTATTGTTTTTTGTGTTGAAGTGATATAAATTTATATCTTCCTTTATGATTTATAAATTATATGTTAGCTTGGTATTTTATAAATAATTAAACTAACAATTATTTATTCATTACGTTAATTCATTAAGTTAATTTACAATTACTAATTTTATCAGAGTAATTCAAGTTTCAAATCTGTTATATGCGAGCACGATGTTACATATTAAGAAAATAATTGCTTGCTTTAGTATTTTTAATCTTATTTAACTTAATTGGACAGTAAGTGAATGATCATTTTTAAAAATAATTTTATTAATTTATTACGTTCATCAAGATAATGTCGGTAATGACAATTCTCCTAATCAATGCCTTTGTGAGCAAGTAATGATGAGTCACCGGGTTATGGTGGCAGTGTTAAGTTTGACATCATCTTCGCGCTTGTACTAACATACGTCATAGTTCACGTCATAGTCGCGTTAAATTCTACCAATTGACTGGTGCCTACACAAAAATAAAACAACACCTACGGAATGCTCTTCAATCAACCTCAAAATGCACCTAAAGACTCTTCTTATCCTGCTTGGTTTGTCATTTTCATTCTTTGTATGGGAATTTTCGCTGCCTATCTTCCAAGAGATGCTTTTAAGAACTGTAGGCATACGATGAATACTGGTCAAAAATGAAGACGTGATAACGTCAATTTTGGCATGCATACTGACGTAATAATGGCATCACAATTGGGAGTACAGTAGTTTTATGTATTATGTTGCCACTGTGAATATACATGATAAATATACTATTTATGAAGTTGATTGTGAATGTAAGTCTTAAATGAAATTATTATTATTAAATCATAATTAAAGATTGTATTTTTTTTCCACGTTTGAGTTACTGTAATTGTTTTTTTTTTTTTATTACCATTTCAATCAACTTCGCTTGATTATCTACATCCATTTGTACATCAGCATCAACATCATCATTATTACCATCATATAATCATCCTCCTCACATCATCATCATCGTCATCACCACCACCATTGTTGTAATCATGGTCGTCAGTGGTTATCTTCACCATTGTGTCAGTGGTAAATAGACCAAATCTTGCTGTAAAATCCTGCTTTATTTTATTTCCTCCAACTTTTATCTTTAAAAGCTATTTTTAAATGGCTCCTTAAAGCCACATTTACACTAGGCACGATACAGATGCGCGCAGTAATACAAACTACGCGATGGTATGTCGTCGTGTCGTTATCGTGTCTAGTGTAAATCTACGTAGCTTTAGGGAGTAAAATTATACTTGACCGAAGACACACTGACCGTTGCACATTCATCACTCTCTTATGTACAGTATGTATCTACTGGGTGGACGCCCCAATCATCTCCCACTAAAAATTGTCAAAGCAAAAACCTGAAAGAAAATAAGGATAAGAACCAAACACATAAAAATATTATCTGCAATTAAATTCATTGAAAGACCATGTGTATTATTACATTAAAAAATAAATCTATAAGATATTTTGCGTTTTGTTGAATTGCTAAGTAAGCCGCCAAATAGAACGATGCACATACGCGCACATCGTAGTAGATGCTTTTTAGCGTACAGTACATACTTCCAGTTGAGATTTTAGACTAGATTTTAACAATATCTACTAGAATAATATTGGCATACCATATCTTAACCACCAAGAATAGCAAACCCGTCGTCATCTAATCGTTTTACTCATAATTACCATCAATAAGCAGCTTGATGATGCCTGAAAAGATCAAACAATTCGTATTACAGTATAAGTTTTGTTAGTTAAAACCAAACTTAAAAACCAGATCTTTCAAGCCAAACTTAGTTCTTGTAATAGCATTGAATATATAAGCCTAACCTTCCAAACAGAAAAGAAACGAAACAATATTTTTGTTTTCATAGTGTGAACGACCTTGTGAACACTTAAGGTATAGTTTATGGGTGTGGCTAATTTAAACAACTGTACAATATGCTTTGATGGTTATATCAATACAATTAGTTACCCTCATCTGGCTTTCTTTAATTGTGAAGCTCCCACAACTGACGTCATTACAATATTTTATTCTTGTTTTTATAACATTTAATACAGTATTATGCATTCTTTTTTAGTTGGAAATGCACTCTCATTCCTGGTGTTGCAGTGCACGTAGCAACATTTAGGTGTGTGCGCAGCAGGGTAAAAACGACCACAATAATAACCTGTGTTCTCAATACAAAAGTATGTACAGTACCTGCAACTGACGACTGAAAGCCAGCATTGTAGTCACATGTTACTTCATTTTGTATGTAATCTGTTCTGTCGTTCTCAAAGTTGTCACTCTGGTCCGGTCCACCAACTAATGCTCCATATAGTATTTGTGGATTTGGTCCGTTGTAGTTAAATTCATTCCAACCACACGAAGCTGGCAGATCTGGGCAAGAACTGCAAATAAGATTTCAGGAGAAAATTACATTTCTATGTCCATTTTTGAATAATCTGACCTGAGAAACCGACTAATATGAGGAAACTGTTTCATCATTTTTAGCTCTGCAATTGTACGTAGACTACGTTCTTCCGGGGACGTGTTGGTTCTAAAATCCAAAATATTGGAACAGTGGGGTCCGGCGTATGGATTTATAAGTCTAGTATCATTATTTGCGCAAAGTGTTTTTTAAAGGGATAAATTAGTTGTCTGAGCTCACAGAATCAAAATCTTTCATATACCGTCAAACCTCGAATTGAAGCCCTGGGCTTCTTTTTTTGCCAACTTTGGATGGGCTTTTTTTCGAGATTGGCCACTTTTCGAAATGGGCTTCGTTT